CAATAAGCTCTGCAATAATTTAATACCTGGTTAACACTGATCATTCCATTACAACAAACGCCTCTTTCAAAGTAATCTACAGAGTCAAGAATAACCTATCAAAGGCAATACGGTTTCATCTTCTTTGTATCGCTGAAGTTCTGGCCATTCACATAGAAAAACCGGAGATGTGCATACAAAAGAAGATTACTCAACAACTTCTACTCACATGGTAACAATGTTTTGATTTATTTTGAGTTGTTATTTTATTTTGATGACTTAATTTTGTTTCTTTGCCTGATCTTTAATTGCTTATAATTCTGGCATTCATTCAAAACTCCTGTGTAATTTCGTATTATCTAATTTGTTTCTATGTGCATCCTGAGTAAAACTCAATTATGAACAACTGAACAACTCATCACCTTTGTTACTACCCTAATTTCATTAACACCTAATTTTCTTGATTTGTATTACCAATCTTCACCTGTTTAGTTAAAATAACCATAACCAATTGTAATTTTGTTTCACAAACTGAATGTACATATATATATATATATATATTTGCGAATGTACAGCTAAGAAAATGAATTCGCCGAAAAGAGACTCTTCACTGATCTACGTGTTTTGTTTACATTAATTTTAGTGTTGAAAATGTTTATAGTTTCTTATATTCTGCATTCATCAGTAGTCCCTTTTGCGGATTCATTGCCAAATGCGTAGGTTTTCTATCATGTCTTCTGTAAATTCTTTCTATTTTTGCCGAATACATTCCTCACTTGGTGAGTAGTCTCTTATTTGTCTATTCTCAATTGTATTCGAGTGCTATAGCTTTTCAGTGCTCGGGATACAAACTGTTTTTACATTTGCATAAATTGACTTTGTTTCGTCGGTGTATATATGTAAGTTGTATTACATATTTTTTAATGACATTCATCACACACACACACACACCGCTCAAGCAATTCTGTATTTTTGTATTTTTTGTAAAATGTTTTTCACCATCATTCAAAGGAATTATATAATTGATTTCGTAAATGACATTGTTGCTCAAACGAAAAATGTATTTTACTGTCATTTTGTTTTTTGCACCCATAGGATCTTGATGATGGTCAACTGATTAACTATGAATCGAATTTCTACGATGCACTTTGTCTCTTTCCTAATTTACAGACAGGTCTGGATGTAAATATTAGATTTACAGGGTAAGTAGTAGCCATAGTCAATTACAAAAATTTAATTGCTCTAAAATAATGGAGAAGATTTGTGACTCAGGATGATGATGATGATGATTTCGATTTAGTTATGTTCTCTGACCTGGTTAATTTAATTGTAAAGCGAAGCTTTTCGTCGACCTTCTAAACATCATCTTCAATGGAAGCTTTAGTATGAAATGAATGAACTCATTTGAATTCTCCATGATTGATGATATAATTGTATCCCCTGACAACTATTGTCGTGATTGATTGGCTGTTAATTCACGTCTCTATTGATCGCTTTTATTGACTTCAAATTTGAACTTTCTTGTCATGCGATTGTTTTTTACTTTTTATTAGCTAGTGAATTTGGTCTATAGTAATTAGTGTGTTTGTTAATCGCTGGCTGATTCACTTGAGTACCAGGCTTCTAGAAATTCCCTGTCGTCACTTCTGGTGTTTCGTCTATTTAAGATTTCTACATTATCCCAATCAGATCATTATATACTAGAACCTGCGCTGAAGATGTTGTCTAGAAGGATGACGACAGCTTCACAATTAAATCAACCAGCTGAGAGAGCACAACTAATTCAAAACCTATTTTCTTACTGGAATCTTCAATGATAGTCTACACCCATTTCTGTACATAGATTCATCCAGATAACCGTGTATCATGCATGCTATCTAGCAACTCATTCACTGCTCTACATTACGCATGAACCTAAAGAAGAGACGATATATCTTCCCAGACAGATTTCTCTGTAGCGATAGTCTGGATATCTGTACACATATCCGTTAACAGTGGATGGATGCATACTTCTGCACAAACAATACTCTCCCACATCTACAAGCTTTCTATAGACCTATTATCTTGACAATACTAAAATACCCCGCCTCCTAGTGGGGAGTTTGCAACAGTAATTCGTGCACTGGTTCCATATTTCCGCCTATTTACTACGATCTCATCTGGCTGATTGACCAAGATCATTATATCCGTTTATTAGGTTAGTTTCGTTTTCGGTCGCCTATAGTTTAAAGATTACTTTTATATTTGTGGTGAGAGCAGCCTGCTAGCCATTTGGTTGACATTAATCTACGTCAATGTCTAGGTCACTAATATAGGCCGTGAGAAAATATGAACAAGGCTGTTTCAACAATCAATCACAGCAAACTTAAACGTGGGCAAATATGATTCGCAGATAGATGGCTCCAATTTCCGAGGAACTCGAAAACAACCAATCAGAAAACTGCGTTTGTCTACTTGACTAGGCTATAATAATGTATGTGAAATTTATACAAATACGTGTTGATTTCCGTAATAAAACGATCTGCTGCCTGGCCCTTGTCTTCTGTTGTTACATATTTATGATGGGGAAATATTTTTTTTCTCAAGAAAAAAACACCCTTAAATTTTCTACAGAAGAGAATATGAATTCCACTAGGCATACATGCATTATACAAAAAAACACACAATAAAATGATTACTCCTCATTACACTGATCTATTCAATCCTGTTAATGACGTTACATCCCTTATTTTATTTACTAGATTCTGCAGCATCCTCAACCTGATTAGTGTTCATGTATTACGTAATCCAGAATCTCTTGACTGTTATTTTTTCAAAATGTCAATGACACACAATGAATTCATATGTAGTAAAGAAGCAGCTTGATATTCAGGCTTGTTGTATTTTGTTATCATTATAATCAGCGTTGTTAATTACGTTCAAAACATTTACCACATTATTATTATTATTACTATTTGATCCACAAAATCACCATCATTGGTTAAAATTTTTATATATTAATCTATGTAAATTACAGTAAAGCTTGAAGAAGATCTAATTGAAAACGACAATATTGTTCGCTTATATTATGTCTTGTTGTATTTTATTGATAAGTCCCTTTAGTCTATTGTTTCATGGTAAGAGGCGATTGGTAGGAAGCCTTGGACTTAGGTTTCGTGCTTGTTGGCACTCGTCAGTAGGGTCATGAATTCCTTCAAGATTGTAGACACATCTTGCTAACCAGTGCCAACAAGCACCAAAGTTTCCTGCCGATTGCCTCCAACTATTTAACATCAATTCAAAGTGCATCACCATGATGGTGAGTTACGGATCATAGTTACCAACACATTGCAAAACTTGACTGACAGAATTCAATCTGGACCAAACAATATGTCACTAGTTTATAAAACACACTAGCCTGACTGAGAATTTCAGTAATTCTTACCCATTACAAACAGATATGCTTTACTGTCCACTGTATGAACCTTAACAAAGATGTTGCACTGTACAAACTTCAAAGATACTAGCGTTCAAAAAATAGAAATACGTGTTGTTCGAAACATAAATTACTAATTAACAGATTCAACTTAGAACAACACATATAAGAGAACAATACTGTTTTCAATTGGATCTCATCAGGCTCAACTCTAATATATATAAGTTTACAAATAAAAATTCAAATATAAACCAATCATGGTGCTTTGTCTATAGGATAATACGATGGTGAATGTAAATTGTGCAATTATTCATAATAGTAGTAATAATGTAACGACAAAGACAAGGGCCAGCAACAAACCGTTTTATTACGGAAATCAGCACGTATTTATATATATTTCATGTACATTATTATAGCTTATTCAAGCAGACAAACACAGTCTTCTGATTGGTCGTGTCTGGTTTCTCGGAAAGTTAAGCCATATATTTGCGAATCTTATTTGCCCACGTTAAGTCTGCTGTGATTGATTGTTGAATCAGCCTTGTTCACATTTCCTCACGGCCAATATTAGTGACCTAGACATTGACGTAGATTAATGTCTACCAATTGGGTAGCGACCTGCTCTCACCACAATGATAATAATAATAATAGTAATAATAATTGTTTTATCAACTTAGATGTTTACACAGAAGTACATATCTTCCAAGTTATCACACTTCAAATGAGATACAGAAAGCGAGGCGAATAAAAACATAACGGGTATTACAGCGAGAGAATACAGACAGAGATTAGTGAAGATCTTCAAAAAATCAAGGGGATGACAAGGATTGAATTATTCTGAACAATTCAATCACTAATTCTGAGCATCCTGACTACTGCGAGTAAACAACCTTCACCTATGTACTACTAAGTGGTTCGAACCAACAGTTAATGGAGCTCTTTCTAATGTTAGACAAAAGAACAAATAAATCATCCAAGTATTGGTTTGCAGGAATTTGTTTGACTGGTTACAGGGGTTCTAGTGGGAAGTCGTGACCAGTAGGGTGCAGCATGTCGGGTGTGAGGACAAATACTCGCCGAAGACATTGGCTAGCGGTTGCGCTATATCGTGAATTAGCAGAAGTTAGAATTCATGTGCTGGCCATCGGATCGGGTCCCAGTGGCTTAATGGTCTATGAACTAGCTCGCCTTGTAACCAGAAGGTCTCGGGTTCGAACCCCAACGGGATGGGTGCGTACTGCTGAAGAGTCCCAAACTAGGTCGAAATAGCTGCCCAGTACTCACATGTTTTCCAGCTGTTCTCTAACCAATGTCAGCTCATGATGAAATCTTGTAACCAAATAAACCATCGTTGAGAAAAGAAAATCATTTTTGACTTGAAGAATAATAAGATGTGTAGTGTGCAGTAATGCAACACCATTCAGTAAGCCTTTTATAAATAAAGTTACAATACACACTGTCTGATTTGTTTATCTGTGTACTAAATCACATCATTAAAAAATTCGAGATGAATTGATAAACAGTATCAGAGAATACAGCCATTTTGTCTAACTATACCAAATCTAACGTGAGTATCAAAGAATATACACTTACAGTAGTTATCACCTTATTTGTATAATTTCCAAAATTTCTCAGGATTTTGATTTGACGCTTTAATCTCCTCTTCTTGTAACATTTTGCATAGCTCATAGCTAAATAAAATGAGACAGGGGAAAGGGGAATTATAAAACGGGAGTATTATATATGACTGTATTGTTAGAAGTATGAGGCATATAATGTATAATAGAAGAATAAACGATAAGAAATACTATCCGACTTTATTCATTATTTACGTATAACTCAGAAGAATTATCAACGTTGGACCAAAAAGTAATTTGGAAACTACTTCAACACACTATGATGTGAGGTGCCCCCAAATCTTTATCTACCTCATTCAACAGCTGGGTCTATATGACAATGAAGGCCACGTGTCAGGTGATCCACAACGGAAAACTCAGTGAGGCGTTCGAAGTGAATACAAAGGTAAGATGAGGCTGCCCGCCAATAATCACCGATGATATTCGTAATTGTAGTGGACTGGATCATATGCCAGACTGTGGAGATGGAGAAGACAGGAATATGTTGGTCTCTAAAAAATCTGGATTTCGTATATGGATGATTTATGTCTAATTTCACAGAAACTCGAAGACTTGCAAGCGAAAAGCAACAAACTAGCTGACAAAACAATGAAGACAGGATTCTGCATGTGAACACAGGGAAGATGGAGGTGATGAAGATAACCAACCAACCAACCAACAGCAACAACCAGCACCAATCACCATCAACGGGAGAGATTTGAATGAGGTGACTTCTTTCTTTCACTTATCTAGGCAGTCAGCATTGTTTCAACTACAGGCACTCGGAACGGATGCAGATGTCAAAGCCAGCTGGCCAGAATCGGAAAGGCAAGATACGCTTCCACCAACTTGAAGTCAATTTGAAAATCCTCTGCAGTCAGTCAGCATGATGAAGATTCGGATTTTGAACACAAATGTGAAGTCAGTCAGTCAGTCAGTTCTTCTACGCCGATCAGAAACGAAAAGAATTTCCAACAAGGTGTAACGACAAAGGACAAGAGTCAGGCAACACATCGTTTATTAAGGAAATCAACACATATTTATAGATTTTCATGTACATTATTATACATTTTTAGTAGAAAAACAGTCTTGTGATTGGTCGTTTTTCACTGAAAGTTAATCTGTCATCTCTTTGTGGCTGTTTCATGAACGTCGGATCATCTATATGCTAACTGTATCCGCCTACACAAAGTCTTTGTTCTTGATTTTCTCACGACCAATATTTGGGACATAAATATTGACGTAAATTAATGTCTACAAATTTGGCTAGCGGCCTGCTCTCACCACAAAGGTACAGACTTTTATCAACAGCTGCCTTTTTTACTGCCTGGCCGGCCAGAAAGAATTAGTAATAAGAAATTGTGGAAACAAACAGGCAAACAAGAACCGATTGCTCAACAAATGCGTAGGGGAAAATGGAAACGGATCGGACATATTTCGAGGAGGCCATCGAATGATTTCGCGCGAAATGCAGGCTATCGCTCGAGTGGAATTCGAATGGAAAGCGACGACGAGTGGATCGTTAGTAGGAGGGTGACATTGAGGAGATTGTGTGGCGAGGAGAAGATGAGGGATTATGGTCAATCGTGGACCCAAATAGAAGAAAGTGGAAATGTGTTGTTAAGGCCTTATATTCCCCTAGGAACCCGAGGGAATAATAATATATATAATAATAAAGTAACTCCATAAAGAGCTACATTTTCTATCCATTTGAGTTTATCATAGGAGAATAAATCTTGCCTTCTCATCAGTGTGCGAACAGAGTATTCGAATGACCAGTTATATATTGTTAAACATCGAAGTTCTGGGGGTGTTTAACAACGGCTTTTTAATTCATAACTAGACTGTTATCAGAAACCAAAATTAGGTATTATCCGGGTACTTGAAAAACTATGCTACTTAATACGTGTTTTCATGTGATAAGCTACAAACCATAGTTGATTTATGTAGACATGCGATATCACCAAGCCGGTTAGGAGGAACTAGATAGGCTTGGGATTTCAATCATGATAAATTTCACCCTAAATCTATCTATCACCTAAGAAAAATGAGTCACACTTCTAAAACAACACATTGTAGACGAGCCAATAATCTATGAAATCACGAAAAATACCCATTTATTTATAAGTAAAAACACAGTTTTTTTTACGAGTTGATCACGGAACATAACTAATCCTTACAAACCAAACTATAGACAGTTTTTTTTGGTCAGCGAAGAAATTCCAAGGATAGATTACCGCTTTTGTCCACATCTGTGTGTATTTACTCTTTTACCTGCTCTTGTGGAGCTGATTATATTGGACGTTGTAAGCGTAATCTCTGAAAACGTGTAGCTGAACACTATCCGGTTTGATTAATGAAAGGCGAACGAAGAACTGCGAAGCCGCCTATTTGTGGTCACCTGTGAGAGTCTAGTCATTTAGCCCCACGTGATTCATCTTTCAAAGTTATCTACATGACAAAACCGAATCAATCCAAAAGTTTACGTTTTCTTCACTTATGCATAGCCGACGCTTTAGCTATACATGAACAGAAACCTAAATTATGTGTTCAGAAACGTTTTGTCAAACCCGTTTCTTTACTTTGGTCATGGTAATGTTCTTTCTGGTTTTTATTTTATTTTACTACTTGAATTCTTTCCACTTCACTTCACATCTTCATTCTTATCGTAATCATACTCTTAGTTTTTTAAAATTTTTAGACAACACTTGACATTTTTGATATCAATTCACTTATAAAACAATCTTTAATAATTTTGTAATTTATCCACTTCAACTCTACCCCTTATAACATTTTAATTATCGTTATTCTTATCACTTATAAATATATGTATATTGACTGAGCAGTTATTCAGTGCCACTTAATAACCTTTTTCTGTAATATAAATACGACTGTACAGTTGGCTTGAAAATGAACTCGTTGAAAAGAAATTTCTTCGCTAAACAAAAAAAATCTATGAAATGTCAGTTAGCCTGTCTTAGTGTTTAAAAAGTAAACCATCGTGAAATCTAACAACCAAAGTTAATAAAAAGCATACTACTCTGCTGAAAGACAGTTTACATTATCGTTTGACAACAACAGTCAGTTAATCACAGAAGAGTTCCAAACTAGAATAACGAAACAGCTATTGTTCAGTACTCCCTGCAGGTTTTCCAGTGGTTCCTTAACTGATGTTAGCTCATGATGAAATCCTCCATGCGACCTAACACAAGTTTTTAGTTTTTCCTTTACGTTCCCAGTGGAACATAGGGCTTCAAGCTACTGGCTTGAAGTTTCTGTAGCAGTGTTTAAGTTTTACAGGATGGGGTTGCTAGCCTCATGCCCAACCTTTCCTCTTTACCAGCATTTTTTCTGGCTTAGCGAGGTAAAGGAGTGCGTCGGCCGGGGATTGAACCCGGGAACATGTGCATGGTCGGCGAGCGTCTTAACCGCTATGCCACCGACGCGCCTAACACAAAATCCCTACAAAACCAATACTTACAAAAGTCAGTTAATCAGTCGCTGATTCAAGTATAGACACCCTGTAGAAATAACACGAAGAGAAATAGAGAAATCTATTTAAAAAAAAATAAAAAATCACTTACTCCAATGATGTATTATTACTATCAGATAAGTTGGTATGACGTGATGTTAACGAATCAGGATAGTATTGTTGTTTATCAACAAAATCATCTTTATTGTTATTATTATTATACTTGGGGTTATTTTTATCCGATCTAATTGTAATAATCCGAACAGCATCAGTACCAGTCTCCTCATCTGGACTTGGGGTTGATGGACAGAAGAGTTGAAAACAGCAATCAACAAATTGTGTATCACCGTCTAAATCATTTAATAATTCCCATACTATTTTTGGTTCATTCAAAAGACCCATATCTGTTACTAACATGAATATAGAATCCTAAAAAATAAAAATATGCAAAAGATTCAGAAATAGAAAGAAAGGACAATGTTGAAAATGTTTTAAAACTGTTGAAAAAGAAATTTGACTGAATGACTCACTGAGTTTCAGTATAGAGATGCATGTAGCGCACAAAGATAGATCCGAAAGAGGATAGATGCATTTGCACCAGTCACTGAGAACGATTTCGAGCCATATCTTCAATGATCTACAGCTATATCGGTTCTTAGAATGCTAAGGACCCCCACAACCAGGCAGTTTACACCGCATTAAGTGTCTCAAACTGACTGTGAAAGAATTCATGAATTAACATCTGCTTTTTATTTGACCACCCCTAAATCATTTCTAATCTAATCTTATATCAGGTAACATCATTCAACAAGGATGGCGATGGCTCAGAATGCACAACATATGCTAGCCATTTCAACGGATGTAGCTTCACAATCTCATCGATTGATTTAGCCTTCTTACCAAACACTTTACTTACACCTAACGTCAATATTACCCATCATATGATACCCTTTTAACATGGTGGAAACAGAATGCCAATATCTGTGGTCAAGGAAAGTTAGTTAGTTGTTACGATAGAAGCGTAAGAGAATTGGTAACGGAATTACTTATTTGCAGCTTGATACACAGATATACAGAAAATATCTGTCTACCATATTAGTAGAATCCCAATTCGAAAAAATATTTTCGGCGTTGTGATGTTCCTCTTTATCTAACTGTCGTGTTTTCCATATTATTTTTCATAAGTATCGTTCATTAAATCCATCTCACCGCCATTTGCTATTCTTGACGCCGATATAGATATTTTTTATCTTAATCTATATACTACTTATAAATAATTGTCAGTAGCACACGCCGTCGCAAATATAGTCTTCCCATAACCTAGTCACTCAACAAAAATTTGAGTTTATAAATAATATAAGCAAATTGTTAAATAATTCAAGAAGAAAGGAAACAAAACATGTGATCAAAGTAGATTGTAAACAAACAACAGAGCGTAGGCAAAAAGGGCATTAGAAGATATATAAACATATATATGTATAAGAAATTAATGAAAATAATTCAAGGTCATCATGCTGCACGTGACTTGTGGCTTTCCTATTCTTTTATTTTATTTTATGCTTTTCACATACTTTTATTCTAGGCTTTATTTTCGGTATCGAATTGATTAAAAAGTAAATTTGTTTAGTTGTTTTAATTGTAACAATTTTATATCTAATTTCGTAACATAAATTGAACTTTTGGCAAAGTCAAACTTTAAGCAACACTCACTACCAATCAGCGAATTACCTCGAACGCACCAATCACGTGAAGGAGACACTTTTCTGTATGGAATACATATATTTCTGAAAAAAATTCATAAAAACTATAGAAAAGTGTTACAGAGGACACCTTCCTCTCACATGTGATGAAAATAGCTCTCAGTTGTAGGTTGGAGTATCAACAGTGTATGATTTCATTGTGTGTGAAATTTATTTTGATAAAGTCTCATAGTGTAATATAGTAATATTTACTGAGCAATAAATTGTCCTTGAGACGTCGTCATCAGTAAATGTTAATGTATAACGCCTTGAGACTTCATGAAAATAGATATTACTCACAATGGAAGTATGTTTATATCAACAGAGTAATTAAACCACATTCCATGTATGCAATTATTCAGGTCTCCTAAACCTAACAATAACCCTTATCTTTGTTAAACCTAGCCTTTACGTGAAAATATCCCTTAACAAACTGCAATCTAACTCGAACCAAACCTAATGTCACCTTTATTAGGTTAACCTAACCCTAACTTGTGCTTAAAGCGTAATTTAATCTTTCTGAAACCTAAGCTGAAACTTGCCAGATATCCCATTTAATAGCATAACACTTCGATGAGCATGTTTTATTGATGGTGACAACATTATTTGCCAGTTTTCACTAATTTGCTAAGTGGGTGTTTTAAGATCATTGGTGCAGTCACACTCTATTGGTAGTTAGCTAGTGGTGCTTAAAGTTTAACTCGGCCGAACCTTTTATTCTGAAGAATATTTTAATAGTTTGCCTGGAAATGTTCTAGCATTGATAAAGTCAATGAGAAAATATTCGTTTAAATGGACAGTTGGTGTTGTAATGAGTCTAACGATTGGCATCTCAGTGATTTCACTGGTAGAATTGTTCACCAGCCCCATATATGAGTTCAGGATTCGACTTTCGGCCGATGCACTCACTCTAAAAACCTCTCGCAGTTTACTGACCGATAGAGAGCTTGGAAAGGAGGAAAGGTTGGTTGTGCAGTAACCAGTAACCTCATCCTTGACAAAAATATCATCGTTAGTGATCCTTTAAAACTTAAACCCCCTTGTGTTCTCTTAAGAATACAAAGGAATGAAACGATTAATTTTGAAGTGAAAACCAGAATTACTACAGAATTTGAAACAACTACCTTCGATGTAGTGGTATTAACAAAAGTACTGGTCATTTCTGTTAATGGACTGAGGATTTTCTTCTCGAAGAATCTCTAATACAAATTTATCTGGGAGAAATGAATATATTTCAGAATAGTAATATTATTTCCTTCTTCAATATATATATATATATATATGCGCCTCCACCTGTTTCATTTCCCACATCGGTTATTTCATGATGCACCTCTCTCCTGTTTAATACATACTACTTTGTACTAACCACTCACTCACCTGACACCTTTTATACCCTTGAAATGACTTGTTAATTCTCCCTACCCTACCCCATCCCACACTCTACAAATGTACTATGACTAATCACCACCACATTGCCTCCAATATATCAATTCTTTGTAATCGATTTCAGTCTAGCACGTTTGTCACCCACAAATACGACGGTTTATTTTGTCACCCCATAACTAATCTGTTACTCCACCTTGAAAAGTGTATTTGCCGTATAACTGTTCATTATTGTAACGACAATAAATATTATATTTTATAATTGTAAGAACCTGAAGAGGAGAAATTATTGAAAAGAATATTCTTCGTTCAGATTGACTTGTAATTCATGATATGGGAATATTTCACAATATTAAATCTTATAGTGAAAGAGAATAAATTTATTTTAAGAAGACTGTCAGTCAGATTTGATTGCCCAGCTGTCACAGTACACACTATAAATTGCCTTATGTTATACATATTACTATAGTTTATCTAAACGATCAATCACACCGAAGCTATGGTTTCATTTTATTTGACTGACTGTACGAAGTGGTGAAACAAACCTCTTAATCCATTATAAATGTTATGTACTAGTTTCCCCGTCGCCAAATTGTTATGTACTCGTCGCTAAATTATTATTATGGTCTGGTCGAGAAACTAATAGTCCTGACGCGAGAAGGCGGAAATCAGAAGACCACTAGGTTTGCGATGATACTTCTATTGTCCAAACACAAGGAGACGAAAATAAAATGGTCTCACACCAAAGTGGTAAGCAAGTCAAGTAGTTGTAAAGTAAAGTAGTTCACACAAATTGTGAATGCGAATATATATAAATAATTCAGACAAGCGTGGGAAAAATCATTAGACAGTCTTAACATGAATGGCTAATTATAATGGAGTGTCGATCCAATTATACATAGCGAATATAGCAGACATGCCAACAAACATATATGGATATATGTCACCAAGCAACGGACTGTCAACAAACACTCATATTATATATAATATAATATAAGGAGAATACAAATTATTAAAGGTGACAAGTTCATACAAGTGAAGTGGTCACAGACTAACCGAGCAAACAGAAAGAGAGACCAACATGCACACACACACATAAATATATATATGTGGATACATATCAATAAAGCACTGATGAGTGCCGAACCAGGTTGACACTCAGACTAACCAGTGGGGAATTAAACTCTATTTGTACTGCAGAAGACCTAGCAATATGCATCGAGAAGCCAGAGCTGTGTGTTCGGAAGAAATTAGTCCAACCTCTAAAACTACCATGGACTTAGTTCGGTATGTTCCCTTAGCTTCCGTTTTCTTTCTTCTTTCGTTCTCTTTTTCCTTTTTGATCTTTTTAGGTTTGCTGTGTGTGTGTGTGTGGTTCTTACTCCCCCTGTCTTCATTCGCTTCTACCCATTTTTTCAGTTATAAAAACAGTTATTTTAAGTTTGTTTCCAAGCTTTTCCTTAAATTAATATGACCCATTGCACAAAAGGTGGCTCTAGTGGCCAAAGTGGTTTAGTGGATAACGCTTTGATGTTTGAAACTATGGGTACTGGGTTCGGTTCGAGCCTCGGTGGGAACATCATCACTCACTGCGGGATGCAGATACATCTACCTGATGAGTCCCAAATAGAACGAAGTGCGCGTTAACCTGGATTCCACTGCTAGTCACCATCCACCAATTAAATAAAACATTTTATATGTGGAATATCTACTTATCTACAACTAGGAATATACATATGATTAATAGCAGAATGCTGAGAAAATAAGAGAGATGATAACTAAGGTTGAAAGAAATCCTATAATCAATCAATGAAAAATTCAAGCGAGTGAGTGACCATAAGGTATTTTATGCTGATATCTCGTACTTCAGCAGTCATTATGAAACCTAGAAGGCAGTTCTATGCACAGACCACTGACTTGAATTCTGTTGCAATTCATGGTGTGTGTTTTTTTCAACTGTGACTATCACAATCCTTCGCAAAAAGTTAACATTTCACTTACCTTATGCTTTAATATAGTACTGAAATGATTATTTCGAAAAAATACAGCCAATTCTTCATCACGTAGAGTTGAAACCAGTTGACTTAAACCATGAAAGGTCAACTGTGAACCACTTTGATTTAAAAACCACTCAACCAATGTACCTGTCATATATTAGTAGGCAAAAGGAAAGTTGGAATAAAATACTTAGGAATATATATATATATATATATATATATATCAATTGTCACAACGGAAAGCTCGGAAATGTATTTGAAGTGAAGACAGGATTAAGAGAAGGCTGCCTACAGACCTTCATTAACAGTTGTCTTCGCTCAGTACTCAAGATCAGATGACCGACCAGAAAAGATCAGCAACAGGGATCTCTGGCAATAAGCGAAGCAACCAGCAACCGATTGTGAAACAAATAAGCAGGAAGAAATGGAGGTGGATAAGTCATACTATGAGGAAACAATCAAGTGACATCACATGACAGGCCATAGCTCGAGTGGAACCCAAAAGGGAAGCGAGTTGGTCATCAGTTCGAGGGTGACTTGGAGGCCATGTGAAGAGGAGTTGAAAGCATATGGGCAGACTTGGAGCGAGGTGAAAACGTTCGTTGAGGACCGAACGCAATGGAGACGCGCGGCTGAAGCCCTACGTTCCTCTAGGAATTAAAGGAAATAATAATATAATAATACCTACTGCCACCGATGATAATCCTGATTGTGGAGGACCGGATCATGATGTTGCAAGCCGTGGGGAGTGAGAAGACAAGAAAAGGTTGAACCAAGAAGAGAGACTAGACGATTCTGACTTTACGGAGAATTCATGTCTAGTGTCACAGACGGAAACCAACAAGTCTTCAGAAGCGCCAGCGAAGACAGATGTTCAAGCGAACATAGAGATGAAGACACCTCACCACCACCAACAACAACAACAAGCACCAATTACTATTAAGCGGAAAAGTTTTAAGGAGGTTACTTCTTTTGCTTATCTAGGCAGCATTGTTTCAAATACAGGCGACAGCAAGGATGAGGATATCAAAGGGGTGGGATTGAGAAAGTAAGACAGACATTAATTACTCTGATATCAGTGTGGAAATCTGCTGCACTAAGCATAAAGAACAAGTTTAGGATTTTTAACAATAGTGTCATATCAGGAGCGTCGATGGCACAGCGATTAGGACTCTCGCCGACCATTCACATAGTCCGGGATTCGATCCCCTGCCGATGCACACCCAATATATATGGTCGGCCTGAAAATTTGGGCTACCAATATCACATGCTGAAAATTCCATACTTGTACCGAAAATATGGTGTGGCATCAAGCTGTAACCAAAAAAATTCTATATAGTTCAGAGACTTGATGCGTGCGTCATCGGGCTTCACACTTTTATCAGCAGCTGCCTTCTGACTGTCTGTTTTCAACATATAACTTTGAACCGATATGCACCAGCTCAAGTCGCCACACTCCCCCCCCCATGTATCACACAAAGCAAGACAAGAAATACATGGCAGAGAGAGTAAACAGAGGTGTCTGTCTGTCTGTTTTAGACATAGAACTTTGCACAAATGTGCGGAAGTTCAAGTCGCCACATTCCGTGTAGCACGCGAAGCAAGAGAAGAAAGTACATGAAAAGCATAATAGGAACAGTGAGCAGAGGTGTGAGACAAAGTAGTAATAAAGAAATACAAAACAGTTTCATTGAAGATCATAAGTCACAGGGAGTGGATGCATCTGCGCCACTGAGAACGGTTTTGAGCCATGTCACCAATTGTTTCCAACCATAGATTTTTACCGTCCCGAGGACCCCAGCCTGGAAGTCTACACCTTCCTACATGGCTTAGACCAACTGTTGTAGATTTCATTGACTGATGCCAAGTTTTTGTTTGACCGCCGCTAGCTTTTTTCCAGCCTGACCCTATATCCGCTAACATAGCTCGTCGAGGGAGGCGATGACTTGGCATACGTAACACATGTCCTAACCATCTCAGTCGATGTAGCTTCACGACTTCGTCGATTGATTTCCCCTGTTTACCTAGAACTCTACGCCTAACCTCCATGTTGCTCACCTTATTATGCCACTTTACACGGGAAATAGAACGCAGGCACCTATGATTAAAGACAGCCAGTCTTTTCATGTCTTCCACTCTCAGTGGCCAGGTCTCACAACCAGCCATGAAGGAGGACGGAGCGGACTGCTGAGCAGTACACCCGCCCTTTGGTCGATAGTCGAACATCTCGTCTACGCCAGAGTCGGCGTAAACTAACAAATGCGAAACGAGCCCCTTGTATTCGTGCTGAGATTTCGTCAGAGATCAGCCCGTTGGGGCTGATGGTACTTCCCAAATAAGTGAAGCGGTCAACGTGCTCTACCACTTCACTTCCTATTTTTAAACTAGGCGTCGATGTAGTCCAGTCCTGTAACATCATCTTGCATTTGGCGGGAGCGGGAGGTGTGAGACAAATGAATAGTAATAACGAAGAACAGTATAGTTTCATTGGAAATTATAAGTCACAAGGAGTGGATGCATTTGCCCCAGCCATTGCAAACGATCACTTTGAGCCATATCACCAATTGTTTCCAGCCTTCATTGGTTTTTATCGTCCCGACAACCATAGCCAGGAAGCCAGACTACACCTTCCTACGTGACTGGCTGGCCTAAACTAACTGTTGTAGATTTCATTGACTGGTGCCATGTATTGGTTTGACCACCGCTGGCTAGCTCTTTTCCAGCCTGACCAGTCCTATGTCAGCTAACATTCCTTGTTGTCGAGGAAGGTGATGACTAAGCAGGAATGCGTAACACATGTCCTAACCATCTCAGTCGTTGTAATTTCACAGCCTCCTCGATTGATTTCCACTCCTCCTTCCTAACCTAGTACTCGACCTATGCCTAACCTCAATATTGCTCACTTTATTATACCACTTCACGCGGAAGATAGAGCGCAGGCACCTATGATCAAAGACAGCTAATCTTTTCATGTCTTCCTCTCTTAATGGCCAGATCTCACAGCCATAACGGAGGACGGAGCGAACACCCGCCCTTTGGTCGATAGTCAGCTGGATATCACGTCTACGCCAGACGAGAGCCGGTGTAAACTGGCATATGTGAGATTAGCCCTCTGTATCCGTGCTGAGATTTCGTCGGACATCAACCTGTTGGGGCTGATGATACTTCCCAAATAAGTGAAGCGGTCGACGTGCTCTACCATTTGACTCCCTATTTCTAAACTAGGAGTCAGTGTGGTCCAGTCCTGTAACATCATCTTGCATTTGGCGGGAGCGAATCGCATGCCAAACATTCGTAGATTGCAGCTCAAGGTGTTTAGGAGACTTTGCGTTTTATCAGCGTCCTCGCGCCTAGAAGAACTATATCGTCTGCATATTCTAAGTCAACGAGATTATTCCCTGGAAGCAAGTCAGTCCCTGAGTCGCTGAAGTGAGTTAGGGTTAAGTCCATTAGTACATCTATGATGAAATTGAATAGAAATGGGGATAATGGGCATCCCTGACAGACATCACTTGTCGTCACCACTTCAGATGACAAGCTGCCTTCGCTCCACAATGAAGATCAGACAGCCACATAGAAAGGAATAGCAGCAACGAACACTGAGAATGAACCAAACAAGAACCCATTGCCCAGCAGATATGGCGGAAGGAGACAGAGACGGATCAGGAGCACACTGAGAAGACCTCTGAGTGAAGTAGCGCGCCAGACATAACCTCGACTGGAACCTAAATAGTAAACGACAAGTTGGGTGTCCAAGGGGGACATGGAGATGGTGTTCAGAGAAGATAAGAGCTTATGGGCATTCCTCAAGCCAGCATAAAAGAATTGCGGATAACAGAGTGGAATGGAGATGGACTGTTGAGGCCGTATCCCCCACTCGGAACCCATAGGAGTAGAAATAATAGTATGAAACAAAATGTGCGAACTCAAATATTCAAACAGTTTTCTTTGAGAGAGGGTGAAGAGAGTGGGAGGAGAATATGACTTTACAAAAACTACACTGGTTAATATGCACTCTTATCTTAAAAGTTTTCATAAACGTTGGTCATGAACTTTGGAGGTTAATTACCGACCAAATATACTTTTTCGATACATACTTGAGTGTTTCATTTAATTTTTTCGCATTATCAATCTAACATCTGACCTGATTGTCTCTATAAACGATCTAGTACGGGAGGAGAGTAAACTTCAGCTTTTCTCTCGAAATGCCCTCATATGGCCATGCGTTTATAGACTGTGATAGGTAGATCCTATTCATCACCGCCCTCACGCCACGGTAAGAGTATTTTTCGCAAGAGTCAACAGGGGAGAATCCAAACGACTCACTATTACAACCCAACTGGTGCACATCCAGGCCTACACCAAGAGGAGTCAAAGAAAACCCTGATTACGAGCCTATGGTCTACACAGGCACCACAATCTGGAAGGAGTGAGTGGTGCATAGACCTATTTAGGTCACCAGTGGGAATGGGAAAGCAGCTACTGACGCTGCTCCACTGTCTTGTACAGTAGACCAATCAAAGGCTCTTCAAAGGTGACTCTTTAAGACAATCACCTTCGCTGGTCTATGCATTCAAGCAGAGTCCCAACCGTCGCAGAAACTATGAGACTTTGTATGGTGCATTTCTTCGTGCCTAGAATATACTAAGCTTGTGTTTTGATAAATAAAATAAAAATCTGAATCGACTGCGTAGGAATTCAGCCAGACCAGCCTAAACAGGTTTGCATACTGAACGATAACGTAGGCATCTAAAATTATATATATGGAGGGAGAGAGATGAAGAACTAATGTACATATCCAAATTTTAGTAAACATTTCATCCACATACACTTTTGGTACACTTTTATGCCAGATTAAAACCATAAGTTCACAAGTGTCTGTAAATATCTAAGTTATATTCTGTCCCTGAGTTTGAAGACTGTAAAGATCAGGCACAATTGCATAAATAGTATAAATTATTCAATTAATAATGTAGTTATGTCAATAGATTTAAAACTAAAAGTTCACTTAATGTTTTCCTGCCTCAACAACTATATATATATATATATATATATATATACTGATAACTCACACACCAGAATAAAATGTTGTTATCTTTGATATTCTGGAACCGGTAAGTAAAACAGCTATGCATATACTCACTTCGTCGACTACATACAAGATATGAATGTTATTAACAAAAGTGGGCTATCTTTCAACACTGAACCACTGTTCACCAACCAATGTCCCACTTACAGAAACTGTCTGTTTTATATGTAAATACATAGATGACAACCAGCTCAACATTGGAATACCAACAACATGTCTGAAAGAACTGGTACCGAGATGGACTTACAATGTACAATTCACTTTCAGTGACAACATCTACAGACAAAAGGACGGGTATTGCGACAGGATCTCCCTTGGGTCCATTACTAACAGACTGCCTCATAGCCGGCTTTAAGAATGGTCCACTCAAGTCGTCCATTGACAATTCGCAACTGTACAGATGATACGTAGATGACATTTTCGTTTTTTGTGACAACGGTTGCTACAAATATTGAACAACCGGTCATTCGGCAATAAAATTCACTCTAGAAATGACATGCGAATCCAAAATTACCTTTTTTTCATGTGCAACTAACAAAACGACCTGATGGAACTTTAAGAAGGTCATTCCATAGAAAACCCACTTGGAACGGTCAACTAACAATTTTCTACAGCTGGATACCTCTGTTGAGAGCAAATGAAATCTGATTAGATCCCTTGCCACTCGGATCCGATGTATCTGCAATCCTGACTTCCTTGAAGTTTAGAACTGGATCTTCAGTTTGAGTTGGTTTCTGCCGTTGTGGCAGTAATAGGATCTTACGGCCGGTTACAGGTCACCATAAGACAAGTCAGGATCGGGGTTGATCTTTCTTAACCCCCTCTCCTCTTCAGAGTGGAGAGGTAGCATAGCTGGCATGTTGGTTATCTGAGGGATACAAGTCAGAGCTGTTACTTCACCCACGGATCCCCAAACTTACACTGCGACGGTAACTCCTTTTAGCCTGACCGCTATCCAAACAACCTTTCTGGCATGGTAGGACCTGCAGGAACACTAATTCCAGCCAATGTAGCTCAATGAGTCTTTCTAATATGCAGATCAGACCACAATATCATAGTAGCAGCTATCGGTCGAGACATCTGCACTTTTAGACAACACTAGCTAGAAATGTAATTGTATTACCCTCACATAAAGAAAGTCAGTCAACTGTCAACTTTAACCAACAATATTGAAATATTCTGTCTTTTATTCAGTATATATATTAGATTCATGTTACTTAAAAGAAAGCTCAGTAATTTAAATGCAGCAGACACACTTGTATTGATAAAAATAATGGAACACTAGTTATTAGGGGGTTAAGGCGAATTGTATGCACGGTGTTTCAAAACTAGATTCTACTGCTAGGTGCCTGAAACTATTTTTTTTTCAACCACAGAGAAGACCCCAATCCACTGACGATAGTGATCCTTAACAAAACCACTGAATTGGTAATTTCCATCAGTAGACACACCAATAAATTACACTGTACATAAGCTGATATTACAATAACCCTAGGAAATATGTCGAGACAAAGGACAATTTATATTCCAATTATATAAACCACCAAGGGATTGATAAATTGAACAAATTCGATAATTGTATTCTCTGACATCAGTTCGACTAGTAATAAACACTGAAATAAAATTAAGCTTATGTTGCATGTACAATAAATAGACTTAAGACATTACTGGAATATTTAAATCATTCAAATAGAATTGTAAATTTAACTAACTTCTGTACAAATCTTCAGAATTATCAGATGATCTAAGTCGAAGTAGTTCTTCAGTTAACTGATTATAAGTTCTTTTGCCAACGGTTACAGCTAAATCATGTTCATCAGGATCCACAAGCCAACCATGATATATGTGTATGTTGAACAAATCAAATAAGCTTAACGTTGAAGTATACTCGAAATCTGAAACACTTGAAATGAACAAAAACCACGGCATTAAAATTTAATAGAATAAGACTATATGGAGAATTTTTAAAGAAATTACTGATGGTAGTATTCCTTATTCCTTTGATGTTCGCACACTAAGCAAGTCTTTCATACAATCTCCCACAAATGCCAAACTTTCTAGTGCTACAAGTGTTCATGAAACCTGCTTTCCTCGTTTCAATACAAATGATGTTCTAAATTGTCTCCAGTCTCTGAACCCTTTTTGTAGCCTGCAGCCAGATGGCTTGCCTAGTGTTATTCTTAAAAAGTGTGTAGATATCCCCTCATGGACATATTTAATGAATATTTTTCCAGAAATGTCGAACCAGCCGTTTGGAAGGACATTAAAATTGTACATATACCTAAGTCATTTACTGGAACATGTTTTAAATTTAGACCTCCTTTTCTAAAAACTTTGGAAAAGTTACTCTTAATCAATCTTCAATCTTCACTTAAAGCCTTTAACGATCCCAAACAATTCGCCTATAAACACAGTAGAAGTACTTTAGGTGCACCTGCAGTCTTGCATCATAACATTGTCTCCAGCTTATACAAGGGGGCTAAACTTGTTCGCTGCACCTTCCTAGATTACACATATGCTTTCAACTCAGTACCTAGGGACATTTTGTTAGACAAGCTTGGTGAAACTCAAACTGACTGTTAGGTTGTCAAATGGCTGCATTCTTATTTCTCAGGAAGAAATCAGTACACTCTATGTCAGGGAAGGTCGTCCACTTCATTGCTTACTGAGGCTTGTGTTCCACAAGGCGCTGTCCTTTCTCCTTTTCTGTTTTCCTTCTTCTTGTGTGACTTGCCTCACTCTGATGATGAAATGAACTTTGTTAAGTATGGCGATGATCTAACTATTTCAACATCTGTTAACTCCCAGCTTGATTGTGCTAAGATGAACAACTTTCTATCGGGAGTCAGCAAATGGTCTTCGTCTAATGGTCTTAAACTGAATCCTTCAAAATACCAGACTGTTAATTTCAGTTTCCGATGTAAAAGAAAGTTAAATGAAGCTGGTGGCTCCTATGACGCTTGCACAATTTATGATAGTGATATAGAAACCAAGTGTGAAGTTAAGTATCTTGGATTAATTCTTTCTTCTGACCTATCCTGGTCTTCCCATGTCTTAACGATTTCTAAAAGAATATTCCGTCTGACTTTTTACATTAAGGCAATCAGGCATAACCCAACCACTCCTCATCTTGCAGTTTGTCAACTCGTGCATCCTACCTATTCTTCTCTACTGTTCACTCTTATTCTTTCCTGGATTGCTTGAAAAAGACTATTTCATACTTCGTAGAACTCTGAAGACTGTCAGTAGGATGAGTGGTATCCTATTGGGCCATATCGTTGACATTTCCACTGAAAGGCACTTGATGCCATGCAACAAATTTGCTAAAGGAATTTCGTCAGACTGTTAGGATCCACCACAGCCCCCGCAGCTCTAACCTTGTGTCTCTTCAGGTAACACCAGAAGTCTTTACAGAAGACTTTATGCACGTACGTCTAGGTATTAAAATTCCACTATACCATATTTAGCACGTACTTTATGTGATGAAAGTGGTATTAGGCATGAACTAACTAACCTTCTTTGCACTACTAAATAAACCATTTCCTCCACCTTTACAACATCAACCTTTATTGTTGTTGTATTTCTTGTATTTATAATCCTCTCAATTTTCTTTTTATTTGTTTATTTTTTCATAAGTGTGAATATCGTTTAAGCTGTGTTATAACTGTTAATTTTGTATTTCCTCTCACTATACTATATCAACAGAACATTAGATGCAATAATCTATAACATGCTAAAATTTACAAACTGAATCGACAATACTGTTTGAAACAAACTCATTGTTATTATTATTATTACCATTATATTTAATGCTCTCGATTCGTGCTTCGAATATTTTTGACTTTATATCGTAAATGTGGACAAATTCCTCTGGTTACTTTTGTTTTAATTTTAAATTTTATTTATATTTTGAGTAAATCAAATGCAAGATATTGTGACAAATGCTGAGAATTCCATTCTGTATTATAAGTAATGTATTTTGGAATAAAGTAGATTATTATATACTACTAACTGGTTAATATGAGTAGTAGTAGTATAGCATGCGTGCTAGCCAGATCAGGTGGTTTGAATTGAATCTGCCCTCTGAGCTAAATCAAACTGAGTATCACCACACTGGCGAGCCTGGCCGCAAATGATTGAAACGGTCGTCTGGGGGTTAACATCACTTCGATCTGTCTACAAAGCACTACTACTGGTTGGTGTGAGTGGGGTATATAACCATTCAACCGTAATCAATCTGTATTATACATAGTTTTACTTGTTTATGTCTGATTTGTTAATTAGCTTTTATGGTATATTAAGAGCAGATCACATGCATTGTGAAATGATGAACTCGAACTGTGTAAATTGAGAATTAACTTGAAAAACTGCTGAGTATTTGCAAAATTGCTAACTTCATTAATAATTAATAAATCTTATAAAGCGAACCAAACTTTTTAGGCTATTTTTTTGTACTGATAAAATATAACTTCAACGGTAACTATTGCACATAGATTGATGAAAAAAGATTACTATTTACACACATACAGTGTGTGTGTAAGTGATGGGAATATTTATCACTTGCCAAAACTAAAGTAGGCAGGAATTTACGCCACCAACTGCACCTATGCAGGCCATGTAAGTAAACAAAATGTTGCAACTGTCTCTTAAACAAGAGAATTATATATATATATATATATATATATATATATATATATATATATATATATATGGGCCAATGCATGACTTTCCAAGGAAATACTTAAGTTAAACTGCCAAGGTTAACAGCTAGAATGACAATAAAAAAGCACCTCAAATCAAAAGTTATTGACCACTTTATCACTCAGATCAAAGGTATACTTAGAATAAGTGAAGGTATCAATTAACTCAAACAGCCTCCCTGATATGTATCCACATGATGTGTGTGTTTTGTTGTTGACAGTCTATTATATTTTGCTATGTGTAAATGGATCGATATTCCATTATAACTGACATTATGCTTTTGTCTGTCTACTAACTAAATAAATATGTATGACCTTGTTGTCATATGACATCACAACCAATCATGTTAAGACTGGCTATTTATTGGTTCATGCGTATTAGCCATTTTCATATATACTCTTGCTTTGTACACTTTTATCACAATTCTTATTGTTCACACACTAGTGTGACATTTATTTTCCTTGTCTGGAGAAATACAAGTATCATCGTGAACCTGGTGGTCTTCTGATTTCCCTCTTTCCGCGTCAGGACTATTAGGTACTCGACGAGTACATAACATAATTGGCGACGGGAAAAACTCTAACAACTCGCTCAGCAGCAGTACATAACACTCCCAAAAATTTGGATGCGAAGGTACCAAGTAATTAGAAATTTCCATTCGGGGAGTCCAGATTATGGTGAAATAATCAGCTGACAGGAACATACAGCTCGTATAAAATAGGTTTACCATACAATCGCTAAAGTACAGATGAACACCAAACTATTCTCTCTGGTAAGTAAGTATACGGCAATGTTGGACGAGATGAGTAGTAGTAGCTGAAATTCAAAGACCACTAGACTCTGGACCACAGATAACCTGATTAATGACCCTAGGTCCGAAATTTGGATGGATGATGCGTAACTGTCCAGTATTTCCTGGTTCCTAACACTTTTGATGGCGGTGCATAAAAGCAGCTACCTTTTTAAATAACTTTATTTTTAAATGAATAATACGGAGTTGATGGCAGTAGTGATTACTTAGTTCTACATTATCACTAGTTATTAATGTTGTGAAGAAAAGCCTGACGTCATAGATATAGGCTAAAAGGGAGGTCGTTTTGTTCATAAAGATTTTTGTGAGTGACACCGTCTAACTGACTCAGAATAATATTCTTTCACAGCTTCAAATTCCCAGCTATGGGTAGTTGAAACAACCTAACTAGTGAAGCTAGAGGATTGAAGTTTCGGTAGCAGTGTTTCTGTTATGTACTGCTGCTGAGCGAGTTGTTAGAGTTTTCCCCGTCGTTAATTATGTTATGTACTCGTCGAGTAGTTAACAGTCCTGACGCGGAAAGAGGGAAATCAGAAGACCAACAGGTTCACGATGATACTTGTATTTCTCCAGACAAGGAAAATAAATGTCACACTAGTGTGTGAACAATAAGAATTGTGATAAAAGTGTACAAAGCAAGAGCATATATGAAAATGGCTAATACGCATGAACCAATAAATAGCCAGTCTTAACATGATTGGTTGTGATGTCATATGACAACAAGGTCATACATATTTATTTAGTTAGTAGACAGACAAAAGCATAATGTCAGTTATAATGGAATATCGATCCATTTACACATAGCAAAATATAATAGACTGTCAACAACAAAACACACACATCATGTGGTTACATATCAGTTGATTTCTACAGGATTGGGATTGCTAGCCTCATGCCCAGCCTTTCCTCTTTACCAGCTTTTTTATTAGTGGCTTAGCGATGTGACAGAGTGCGTCCGGCCAGGGATCGAACGCCGGACCATGTGCATGGTCGGCGAGCGTCCTAATCACTGTGCCACCGACGTATCAAAACGATCAATAGAGACGTGAATTAACACCCAATCACGACAATGGTTGTCAGGGGATACAATTATATCATCAATCATGGAGAATTCAAATGACTTCATTTCGTACTAAAGCTAGCATTCAAGATGTTGTTTAGACGGACAACGAAAGCTTGGCAATTAAATCAACCATCTCAGAGAACATAACTAAATCAAAGTTCATCCATCTAAGGTATAAATCTTCTCCACTATACAAGAAGGTTTTCTTGAAACACATACGAAAAAGTTACCCGGTATAACTACATTTTTAACACTTTGATGTCTACGGAAGACTTCTAAATTACGCACATTTACTACGGGCTAGTCTAATTGGTTGATCAAGGTCATTACGTCTGTTTATTAGGTAGTTTTATTTAGAGTTCCTACAGTTTAAAGCTACCGTTATCGTGGTATAGGTTCATGGGATTCATTTCATACTAAAGCTTGCATTGAAGATGATGTTTAGAAGGTCGACGAAAAGCTTCGCTTTACAATTAAATTAACCAGGTCAGAGAACATAACTAAATCGAAATCATCATCATCATCATCCTGAGTTACAAATCTTCTCCATTATTTTAGAGCAATTAAATTTTTGTAATTGACTATGGCTACTACTTACCCTGTAAATCTAATATTTACATCCAGACCTGTCTGTAAATTAGGAAAGAGACAAAGTGCATCGTAGAAATTCGATTCATAGTTAATCAGCTGACCATCATCAAGATCCTATGGGTGCAAAAACAAAATGACAGTAAAATACATTTTTCATTTGAGCAACAATGTCATTTACGAAATCAATTATATAGTTCCTTTGAATGATGGTGAAAAAACATTTTACAAAAAATACAAAAATACAGAATTGCTTGAGTGGTGTGTGTGTGTGTGTGATGAATGTCATTAAAAAATATGTAATACAACTTACATATATACACCGACGAAACAAAGTCAATTTATGCAAATGTAAAAACAGTTTGTATCCCGAGCACTGAGAAGCTATAGCACTCGAATACAATTGAGAATAGACAGATAAGAGACTACTCACCAAGTGAGGAATGTATTCGGCAAAAATAGAAAGAATTCACAGAAGACATGATAAAAAACCTACGCATTTGGCAATGAATCCGCAAAAGGGACTACTGATGAATGCAGAATATAAGAAACTATATACATTTTCAATACTAAATGTAGCGTATATCATCAAAGTTGTTGCAGTTGCTTTGATTAGCTGGTCAGTCAACTGTGCGCTTACAAAAGAATTATGTGGTAGGTTCAGCCTTTACTTCAATACGGTAAGCGCTTCAGATGCTCTCCAAAAAGTCAATCACAGCTCAGAGATCACAACCACTCCAAAAGCATCTACTCTGAGGTGCTAATCTCCACATTGTTTCAAAATCTTATGGTAGGCTCCTCTTGAATTTGTTTGTCAGGGTGAGATAAGAAATAGAAGTTCACATTATCAACACTCCAGATATGCATAACATAGTGTGCTCTCAAAATTTGTTTGTACCTCAGACATGGTGTATCGTGTTTATTTGTTACAAGCCACTACTTTCAAAGTGAAGTAGAAAAAAGAGGAATGAATGAGATTAGGGTTCATGCTATTTGGCTACCAACCACACAAATGTTAGTGATGTTGTTTGCTTACAGTAAACAGGAAAGATGGGACGGAGTTCAAGCTTTCAAGCCATTTGTAGAAAAAACTGATCTCCCCAAAAAAATAGCATGAAAAAAAATTAATGGATATTATGAAGATTAAAAATTACTTGAATAAACTGGACCAACTGTTAGAGTAGAATAAGGTGCCATTTTATATCATTGGTTTCATAAGCCATATACTACCTATACAATTTGAATTATGCGTACACAGAGATTTGAAATATACTTCAGACGATAGCATGACATTAGTTAATTGGAAACTACAAAATATTTGAACAAGGCATTTAGAAGACAAATTTCGCAAGATGATACCTTCATTTCGTAGTTTCTGTACAATCGCTTTACAACTAACATGGTTCACAATAATGATAAAATAAAATGCATAACAACTACTCAGTCATATAAAACAAAAGTACACACTAATGACCAATCATATTTAAATAGGTCAAGTAGTTCAAGTTCAGAAAACTTTATCAATTGTCACAGTAAGGATAGACCACATCTAGAAAAGACAGCTCCTGTACCAAAGAAAGCTATCTTTATCAACCTACCATTTAAGGGTGACCACACTATGCAGTTGACAGCTCGGTCAGCCATCAAACGCACATTCTATGCCGCATCTCTTTTTCTCACATGCCGAACATTTGCGATACCTGTACCTATGATTAAAGGACGAAATTCTGTGGACCCTACTTCAAACTATATCTACAAGTTCACCTACAGTTGGGGGTGACACCTTTTTAGGCACAACCAATAGAATGTACCGATGCCGTCGAAAAGGACATGTTCTGAAATGGTTATTAAAACACACAAAAAGTCACAATGCAATTAATCCGAATAGAAATCCATCATCATCCATTGCAAAGCACTTGCTAATGTCAGGTAACAAAATCAATATTAATGACTGCTTCACAACTCTAATTCAAGGTTATTGAAGGTGATGGAAGCACTTTTGATTAATCAAATACATCCTAAACTATGTGTACAAAAAATAATAGACTTGAAACCTTCGCCTACCATGAACTGACTACTTGACCTATTTAAATATCAATGGTCATTAGTATGTACTTTTCTTTTTTATTTAACTGAGTAATTGTCATGCACTTTATTTTATTATTGTGAACCATATTAGTTGTAAAGCGGTTGTACAGAAACTACGAAATGAAGGTATCATCTTACGAAATTTGTCTTCTAAATGCCTTATTCAAATTTACAAAATAATGCACAAAATATGCTCAGAATTTCCACACATAATTTAAATACGGGTTCAAGTTAGATATGATAGAGAAGATTTGTAGCTCAGGTGGATGATTTTGATGTGGTTTTGTTCTCTGAGCTGGATGGTTAGTTTGCGAAGCTTTCATCACCTTACTGGGTGACATCTTCAGTGTATACTTCAGTTTGAAGTATGCACTGAAGATGTCACCCAGTAAGGTGATGAAAGCTTCGCAAACTAACCATCCAGCTCAGAGAACAAAACCACATCAAAAGGGTTCAAGTTAATTAAGAAGGTATGGATGCTTAAAAAAGTTGTTACGTAAGGGTCTGACAACAAGCTAATGAAATAAAATGATATCATCTTACTCTGCTACAACCGCTATTTCTCATTTTATTCATATTCACAGAGGCAAAACAGAACAGGAGGCACAAAATGAAAGATATAAAGATGGGAAGGAAAAAACTCACGTGTGTGTAACATTTTCATAGCTATTCTCTATCTCTGGTTTGTTATTTTATGAAAATATAGATATAAACAACATCTACAAAGAGGTACATTTGAATCACAATTAAAGTTTGGCATATGCCAACTGACGCCATCTCTGGCTTAGTAGACGTGATATCCAGCTGGTTGGCTGTCGACCAAAGGGGGTATGCACTGCTCAACAGTTCGCTCTCTCTTCCCTTATGATTGCGAGTGCGATATGGCCATTGAAACTAAAAGACTTGAAAAGGCTGGCTAGCAGCTATCTTTGACCAATCATAGGTACCAGCGTTCTATCTCCCGAGTAAGTTAGGTGGAACAAATAAGGTGAGGAATACTGAGGTTAGGCATAGGTCGAGTGCTAGGTAGGTGGAAGGGGAAATCAATCGACGAGGTTGTGAAGTGACACCGATTCAGATGGTTAGGACGTGTGCTACGCATGCATCGCTAGCCATCACCTTCTAAGACAACGGCAATGTTAGCTGACATAGGATGAGGTTGGAAAATAGTTAGCTAGTGGTGGTCAAACCAAAACATGGCTTCATCAGTCAATCAAATCTACGATAATTAGTTTAAGCCAGCCAAACAGCCACGTAGGGAGGTTTAGACTACTCGACTGACTTGTTGGCGTCCCCAGGATTGTGAAAACCAATGACTGCAGACAGTTGGTGATATGGCTCAAAGCGCTCATTCTCAATAGCTGGAGCAGATGTATTCACTCCTTGTGATTTTTAATGTTCAATAAAAAACTACTGTTCTTCCATATTACTATGTTTTGCCTCATATTTCTGTTTATTATCTCTTGTGAAATTCTCCTCACTCTCTTCTCTTGCCTTGTGTGCTCCGAAGAGCGTGGCAACTCTAACTACCGCACATCTGTGCAAATTTCTACTTTGAAACCAGTCAGTAAGTCGGTCAATATCCTTTTAACTTTTTGTTAGGCGACACTGATTGTCCAATAGATTTTTTTTTTAAAGTTGACAATTAGCACGACTAGTGTAGAGAAACGAAAAACACTAGAAGACCTGTGTATTTCTGGGATTTTCACCAAGGTTGCTAGCCTCCCTCCCACCCAATTTTTCCTCATCCACAGGGGCTTACTATCGATTAGTAAACTACGCAAGACTCAGAATTGTGTCGACAGGGAATCGAACCCAAGATCATACGCATAGTTGTCAAGCTGTCTACCAGTGGACCACTACACCATAGTGAATACTGATATACAAATATATTATACAAATTTATTATTTGTTTTTATTTATTATACAAATATCAAATATTATAACACATTAAAGAAAAAGCAAAGAAGAAGACGAAGAACAGTAATTTTATCACTGCAACTTACATTAGGTGTTTTTGATAAAAGTAATTCACTAAGTATAGCCAATAAACGATTTCCGCTAATTAATTCACTATCTTTTGGTAAGTCAATTGTTCCACGTAACAAAAGTACATTAGCTATAGCAATCATTGGACATGGACCATTTTGATTCTGTGTTATAATAGCACGTGTTTGATTATTAAATTTAATCCATTTTATATGATAAATAGAATTTTCTGATTCATCCAGGTTAGTTGTTGTATTAACACTATATGATTTATCAGATAATTTATTATGCGAATCAGGCGACGGTGAGGAGTAGACAACATAAGAATTTTTATTCATTTCTATCGGTGAATTCAAATTATCAACTAATTCTTGCATATTGAATTCATTAGAAGGCTCTTGTTTAGTATTAACTTCAATTGACCTTTTCTCCGTGTTGATAGAGGAGGAGGATTCAATAAGTTGGGTTAGTGTGTTGCCATTATCATTAGTGTAATGCGAGGAAGAGATTTCAGTTGATATTTGTATAGATTGTTCATCAGGTTGTAAGATAACAGGAAGAGGTTTACATGTTGCTATATGATCTAAAGAATCTATGAAGGGGCAAACAAAAAATAACAACAAGAAATACGGACAACATTCGATAAGACGATGATGAAATAAGTTGTTCCTCATATAAACAAAAGTTAAGTCAAGTCAACAGAGTTGTTACTATGAGAGTAGAAGTGGTCGAATAATTTTCTTTTGTTCTGATTCCTCCAACGGAATGGTTAGGGCTTCTGCGATGCAAAGAAGACGGAATCGTACTGTCTTTGGAAGGTTGTTCTTCACTTTGTAGATTAATTTGAATGAGGCGTCTGTTGAGATAGAATGATCAGTGTTGATGGGATGTTTGATTATTTCACTTCTTATACGGCCATTACTTCGTTTCTGCAGCCACTCTGGATATTGTTCTTTTACCCTTTTTGATAGGATGCGCGTTGAACGACCGATGTACCTGGCTCCACAGCAACAGGTGAACTGATATATATACACATAGAAGTGGTCAGGTGCGGAATCTTGTCGTTTGGGCTTCTGTAGATCAGCGGGCGACTGGAGAACACTACTCTCAATGTTGTCGCAGGGAAAGTTCTTCTTAAAGAGGTGGAAATTCTCCTTCTGAGGACGTCAGAAGAACAAACCTTCCAAAGACAGTACGATTCTGTTGCTCATATATCATTTAATCTGTATTACTACAGATAACATGTCCCTTCATTTTATATAGCCAGAGTTAGTGTTATCGTATCATTATGAAATATTACATACAAGATGTGGCCAAGTTAAACTTTAAGCACCAGTAAGTACCAAATGAGTACTACCGCACCAATGACCTTGAAACTTTCAGTATGCAATTTAGTCTAACCTAGTAAATAATATTGTAATTATCAATAAAATATGCCGAATGAGGTCTTGTGTTATTAAATAGGATATCTGGCAAATGTCAGGTCAGGTCTGGGAAAGATTCAATTTAGGTTTAGGCTGAGATCAGAGTTGGTTTGTCTGTCTGTCTGTCTGGATTCAACATAGAACTTGGCACCGAAGTGCAGCAGTTCGAGTTGCCACATTCCAAATAGCACACAAATGTAGACAAGAAAATGAGTGAAGAGAATCAATACAGTCTGACAAGTATAAGAGAGGAACAGAATGGGTAATGGTAGAAAGGAATATGGAAGATTAGAGACTGAATATGCATCTGCGCTGGCCACTGACAACGATTTTGAGCCATGTCACCTATTGTCTCCAGCCATTGATTCCCAGAGTCCCGAGGGCGCCAACCCGGGAGTCTGCATCTCCCTACCTGACTCAGTTTAACTGTCAAGGATTTCATGGATTGATGAGGCCATGTTTTTGTTTGGCCACCACTGGCTCTTTTCCAACCTGCACCTATATCAGCTAGTAATGCCCGTCGGGGTGGGGGAGGCGGTGGTTAGGCATGCGCAGCACGTGACCTAGCCATCTTAGTCTATGTAACTTTATAGCCTCGTCGATTGATTTTTGATTTTGATGAGTTCCCTAGGTTAAAATGAGCAGAATAACAGATGGTTCGGTGACTTGCAAATGAATATTGATACAGCCAGTATTAATTGGCTGACAAAAGTGATTTCGAATTATAAAATTGTGCCTGACTGTACAGGCAGACTTAGATATGTGAATTTCAAGACAAATCATACTGTGTTGAAACCAGTGTCAGTCAAATCGAAAAATATGCACTCTCATAAGTAGTGCATTAAATGCAAGTAATTATGATTCAGTTAGTGCACCAAAAAGTTTTAGACAAATTCAAACAGACTGAAGGATTCAATAGTATCACATAATCCATTTGTTCTGACGACCAGGAGAAAGTTCATCAATCACTAACGCTTAATATTCTTATAAGTACATCAGCCTTATTACTTCCGATATCTCTACGAAAATATATAGTATATATAATATATAGCACGTATGTTCAGTTTGTAGGCACAATAGTGAGGACATATCAAAGGTAATATGGACTAAAAGGGAAAATACTTGGTTTGAGTCAGATTAGGATTAGTTTCGGGATATTTTCAAGTTAGGGTTAAGTTAAGGAAAGATTACGGTTATTGTTAGGGTTAGGAGGCTAGATAATCACATGGTTGACACTCCGATTCAAAAGTGAGAGGTATTTTTTGCCACACATTAGAGGAAGGGATCCTGTGTAACAAATTTATACCTTTTAATTCAGTGTTTTCATGAATATATATATATATATATATATATATATATATATATACATATATATATATATACTTCATACGCACAAATCGTCTTTATCATGTGGTTGGTGAGTTCAGGGTCACTTGTCCGTCAGTACTTACTGGTGCAAATCGAGATTTTGATTTAATTATCTTTATCTCTGGTACATTTAAAAAAGTAAACGGTGTTTTACTCTATCATATGCTTAGAGTTCGCATCATCTATTGGGGTTAATTTAAAATTTTACTAAGTAATCACTTTTTTTAAATTTTAAAGTCATTTTGTAACATCTTCAACCAATACCAAAAAACTCTAGATATTATTATTGTTCCCTTGGGTTCCAAGTGGAGCGTAAGGTCTCAACAACACATCTCCACTTTCTATTTTCTGCTATCCTCTTTGGCTGGGCCCACGATCTCTCATCTCCTCCTCCTACGATCTCCTCCATATCACCCTGGGACGATGCACTCGATGCTTCCCATCCGGATTCTACTCGAGCCATAGCCTAGTGCGTGATGTTGTTCGACGGTCTCCTCAACGTATGCCCGACCCATCTCCATTTTCTTCTACGTATTTGCTGACCGATCGACTCTTTGTTGCCAGAGTTTCTTGTTAATTTTTCTTCCTGGTCGGCCACTTGATCTTCAGTATAGAGCCAGCCGGCGAAGGCGGCAGATGTTGATAAAAGTTTGTAACCCGTCGGAATCCTTTTCGTGATATTCAGTGAAAGTTTTTGACCCATATAGAAGAAGCGACTGACTTCACATTGATGCTGGAAATCCGAATCGTGTTCTTTATAGTGAAGGAAGTAACCTCCTCAGACAAATCTCTCCTGTTAATGGTGATCGGTACTGGTGTAACAACAGAAGACAAGGGCGAAGCAACAGATCCTTTTATTATGAAAATCAACACGTATTTATACATCTTTCAACTACATTATTATAGACAAGCGCAGTCATCTGATTGGTTGTTTAGGTAGACAAACGCAGGCTTCTGATTGGTTGTTTCGGGATTCCTTGACAAATAGAGTTCTCTCTGCGAATCATATTCTGCCACGTTAACTTTGCTGTGATTGGTTGTTGACTCAGGCTTGTTCATATTTTCTCACGGCCCATATTAGTGACCTAGACCTTAACGTAGATTAGTGCCAACCAATCGGCTAGCAGCCTGCTCTCACCACACTGGTTGTTGTTGTTGGTTGGTTGGTTGGTTATCTTTATCACCTTCATCTTCTCCACGTTTATCTGCAGCCTGTCTTCGCTGCCTACCACTTCTGCTAGTTTGTTGCTTTTAGCCTGTAAGTCTTCGAGTCTATGTGACATTAGACATATATTATCTACGAAATCTAGACCTTCTAAATAAACTCTAGACACAGCTGTATTCATCACAGTTAAATAACAAATAGTTAACAGTATGAGGAAAGACAAAAGATTGCAAACAAAACAAAAAAATTAACCATAGATGATTTTAGCATTTGCGTTAAGTACACACAAACAGAAAAGTATCATGTGAAAATAACCCCCCACATGACTAAAGTATGATTTGCAATAAGTAAAATAATCACATAGAAGTGATTTTGCAAAACACAAAAACAAATTATGCACATTCTTTTAATCAATAGCTAGCTCATAAATAAATTGGCACAACTACCGGTTGAGATGACGCAAGTTAAATTGCAGGAATGTAAAACAGATTTTAAAATGTGCGATTTTTATTTTACTAACAAAGCCTTTAGTGTATATCTCGTCATGAATTAACATCAGTTAGAAATCACTGGGAATTTAAGCAGCACTATATAGCTGTTTCGGCCTAATTTAGGGCTCTTCATCAATGTGTATACACCTACAACCCCATAGTGGATTAAACCCTGGATCTTTAAGTCAAGAGGTCAGTCAAGCTCCTTGACCATCCAGCCATTGGGAGTGGAGTTCAATGACCCATGTATTCTGACTTCTGTCAATAGGTGATATAGCACTACCGTCAATCAATGCCTTGGTGAGCATCCAGTTCACGTTGACACGGTGAACCCCAGTGACCATGACTTGGAAGTACCTGTGAAAGACCGTTAAATATAAATGATAAGTTACTGACCATATTATTCTGTCTTGAGTTTTTAAAAGGAGGGGGACAAATGTGATAAGGTTATTTTTTATGCAACTATTAGTTGGCTAGAAAATCATACACTAGCCCTCGTATTCCGTTGTAAGCATACTACTTCATCAGTTCTTTTCGTTGAAAAATATTGTGTCGGAAACAGTTTATACAGGTTACTTGATAGTAGATCTCATCATGAACTAACGTGAACTAGAAGACTATTAAAAACATGGAATACGGGACAGTAGCTTCATATAAGTTTGGGACACCTCCATATCACTGCATTCACGCCACGGCAAGGTTGATCCTCACAAGAGTCAACAGGGGAAAATCCAAACGTTTCACTCTTACAACCTGACTGGTGCACATCCAGCCAGGCCTACAACTAGAAGAGCCGAAAAATCCTGATTACAAGCCTATAGTCTAGACAGACGCCACAATCTCGAAGGAGTGAGTGGTGCATAAACCTATTTAGGTCACCAGTGGGAATGGGAAAGCAGCTACTGACGCTGCTCCACTGCCTTGTGTAGTAGACTTCAATCAAAGGCTCTTCAAAGGTGACTCTTTAAGACAATCACCTGCTTCGGTTTAGGCATCCGAGAAGTATTCCGCGGACAAATTATGAGATTTTGTAAAGTATATCTCTTGGCATCCATAGTGTACCTAGTTTGCGATTGAATAATAATACGTATTAGCTTAGGACTCTAGTGATTTTGGCTAACAATCTTGAAGGGAGAAGATAGAGTCTACGACTGTTAGTTTTCAAAGACAGTAACTTACTATTTATTAAGCGCTCTGTTGGAGTCCGCTAGCCAGTTATTTGATATCACCATGGACTCGACCTTAAACCTCTATGTGACCGTTGGATCTCACTACCGAGGAGCTCTAGTCTAAGATGAGACAGTTGTGCACTTCTTGTCTCACTAATAGTTCTCTAGTTTATGTTACTTTCTGACGAGGTTGACGATGACGAATTGACGAAATTGCATTCGTATAACAGAATACCACTGGTCTTATATGATTTTCCAACTAACCGATAGTTGAACAAAATAAGACCTCATCGAGTTAGCACCCTTCTGTGGACGTTTTAAAATTTCAAGACATAATAATGTTATCAAGTAGTCAGTATCTGTTAATCGGGGTAAAACATTTGCATTGTGTGTAAGCTAGCTATTTTGTGGATAGTCAATGTTAATATATGTCATTATACGCCTAATTGAAAACCGTTAACAAAATAGTACACACAAAAAATATAAGAATTTGATACTTCATACTGATTATAACTGAGACCCGGTTATCTCAGAAGTAAATTATTTTTATTTGTTGATGAGTATTCACATGTGTTAAGAACACATTTAAATAATAACATTGTTTCCACATAAGAGCAGTTTTAAGTATAAAAAAAATGGTTTTACTGTTTTTCTTCAACTGACTAGAGACTTACTTTTGATAGTTTCTATCATTATACTGTTCAAGCGTATTGTTTAGTCAAAGCTGTTCTCAATACTCAGTATGAATTAACTGTCACTACTAGTTAGCTTAAAGTGCTTTGATACATATGAAAGTATCTAAGTGAACATATAATAATCTATCGAAAATAATAGTAAACAAAAAGATGAAGATGGAACATTCTGTTATTATTATTATTATAGTTTCCTTTAATTCCTAGAGCTTCAGCTGCACGTCTCCATTGCGTGCGGTTCTCTGCTAAAGAATTCACCTGGATCCACGTCTGCCCACATGCTTTCATCTCCTCTTCACATGACCTCCACCAAGTCACCCTCGAAATGACGACCAACTAGCCGCTTCCCTTTCGGATTCCAGGGCTTGTCTAGTGATGTCACTTGATGGTTTCCTCAGAGTATGACTAATCCACCTCCATTTCTTCCTGCATATTTGTTGCACAATCGGTTCCTGCTGGGTTGGTTCGCTCGTTCCCAGAGATCCCTGTTACTGATCTTTCCTGGCCGCCCATTTGATCTTCAGTAGTATTGAGCGAAGACAGCTGTTGGTGAAGGTCTGTAGTTTGTTCGAAGTGCCCTTCTGGACGCGGCGCCAAGTCTGATCCATACAGTAAGTAGCACTGACTTCACATTGGAGTTGAAAATCCGGATGTTATTTTTCATGCTGAGTGCTGTTGACCTCCACACAGACTTGGGAGAAATGAAAGCTTGTTTTGATTTCCCGATCCTCGCTTTGATATCCTCATCAATTCTGTCCGCCTGTAGTTGAAACGATGCTTCTCAAGTAGGTGGGTAGGTAAAGGAGGTTGTTTCTTTCAGGTCCCTCTCATTTATGCTGGCTGATTGTTGTCTGTTGTTGTTGCTGTTGGCCAGGAATCTTCATCACCTCTGTTCTTTCCATGTTCACCTGAAGTCCTATCTTTGATGCTTCTTGTGCCAACTTGTTGCTTTTTACTTGCATATCTTCCAGTTTGTGGGAAATCAGACATATATCACTGGCGAAGTCCAGATCCTCTAAGTTTTTTGTGAGAGTTCATTTTGTGCCTGTTTCCTCGCTGCCGTCTGTCTGTCGCATTATGCTATCTACCGCAATCAGGAAAATCATCATGGATCATTCTACTGGCAATTAAAGTATCATTTAAATGAAATAACAACCACAATATATAATGATGTGCGTTGATATTCTACATTCTGATGTGTCTGAAAAATTTCTGTACCACTGCGTCAAGCATGTCTGGCTACTTTCAAATAATTAAATTTAAGAGAAAAAAAAGACTATAACTATAACTAACTTTCAAATGGATTTGGAAATGATGAGGCATCAGGAGGCATTTCAGGCGCATAATTGCATACTTTTGAATACTGTTCATCCGTAGAGACTGAATCCAAAACATGCATTGACAACTGGATCTCTGATTCATTTGCAACTAATTTCTCTGATGTGAAATCCTGACTTTGAGACATACTTTTGGATGAGGTGTCTGTGAGGAAAAAAGACAAACGAGAATAACAAACAAAAAACAGAATCAGAAACGACTAAATCCTCTTGGGATTGATGCTTTTCACAACAATAAAATTTTTTTTTAAAAATATGTGAGGAGAATACTTTAAAATGAAGCATAGCAAGACAATACACACAAGGCTTCCTGCCTATTGTCTCCAACCATCAAAATACCAACAATTCACAGGGCACAGTGATGGCGAGCCACCTATCTTGATGATGGCCACATTGCAAACTTAACTGATAGAATTCAGTTCGCATCAAAGATAGGACCATACACACACACACACACACATTACACTAGTTACTGACCAGTGTCTAATCAATAGTACACCTTTTCATCACCATGAACATCAAATCATCGTAAGCATTGTAGTATTGAAGTACGATTTATGCATGTTGAAATTATATCCCAATAATATATTATTACCTTAGTGTTTATCCTCGGTAATAAATGTGGATGGTTTCACTTTTCTCTGATCTAATGATATTTTTTAATATGTATTCAACAGGTTCCTCGCTAAAATACAGTTGAACTCACTTTATACATAAGATTGCAAGTATTTTTTATGAGGCAGACAAGTTTTGCTGCAATTCTCTCACTTTGAATAGTTTGTTTTTATTTTCACTTAATTGATAAATAACAATGTATATTATTATAGTATAGTATAAGAACAACTACAAAGGCAAGAACAAATTTAACCACAGATGGTTGTTTTTTTTATAAATTAATTACACTCCAACTGTTATTATTTATTTTATAGGTTGACTATTTTAAAGTATATTATATTATACTATAGTGATTCACAATTACTACATCATATGACAGTAATTTATGCATATTCATATATCTTAAAGTTGCATTGCATTACACTGATATTGTAATGCATAATGATAACTTCAAAGGGAGAATGTTCATATATAAGCATCACACTTAGTTGAATAGGGTGATATCTACTTGTCTTGATTACGTAATGTATCTTTTTCTAGAAGTCTTTAAAAGCAGGTGAACATAATATAAAAATAAAAGTGGTGCGTAAACGTTTATCTGCATAGAAGTGCAGCTATTTTTGAAGATATTATCTATAAAACTGCTCTGTAGCTTAGATAAAGAGAACACAAATATTGTGTTAAAGGTTTGTACACCGATCTACTCATTGAGATTCAGACAGATAGGCAGAAATTCTTAGTCACATTGTGATATGTGTTGCACCGAAATTATGTATTAAATCTGAAGAATACTGTTGATTATTATTTATTTCTATTGATTGGTTACAGGATTTCATCATGAGCTGACATCGGTTAAAGAACCATTGGAAGTACTGGACAGCTATCTCGGTGTAGTTTGGGACTATCCACCCACAGCCAGGGTTCAAACTCAGGATCTGGTTAAAAGACGAGCTCGTAGACCATTAAGCCACTGGGATCCGATCCAATGGCCAGCGCATGGATTCCAACTTTCGCCAATTCACGACATAGCGCGACCACTAGCTAATGTCTCTGGCGAGTATTTGTCCTCATGGGCTATTGGATCGGGTCTCAGTGGCTTAATGGTCTGCGAGCTCACCTTGTAACCAGAAGGTCTTGGGTTCGAACCCCTGTGGGTGCATATTCCCAAACTAGGATGAAACAGCTGTCCAGTACTCCCTGCAGGTTTTCTAATGGTTCTCTAACCGATGTCAGCTTATGATGAAATCCTGTAGCCAATCAATCAAATCTCTACAAACCAATACTTGAATATTTCTATTGAGTTGCACAGTGATTTGCAATGAGTTATATTGAGGACTATTTCTTCAGACTATCTCACACATATTAGAATACTCAAACGAGCTAACAAGAACTGCAAAAATATGCATATCCTTGAGATATGTGTTAACGAATGTGTTACCTCAAGTAGGTATAAGCGTTCCTTAACCCCCAACAAATTTGACTGACAATGCTGCTAAATTTTACTTTTTCACTAAGAGTTCAGCGTTAAACAACAAGATGTTCACTTTTGTATAAACATACAAGTACACACACCTTTTACATCAATGACAGACAAGTGATCAAAACTATCGCAGTCATCATTCGGAGATGGTATTTCAGGTGATGACACTTCATTGACTGAGACAGAAAAAGAAACAGTCGTCTCATCTACAATATCGTTATTTGTTACATTTTCGCGTAATATTTCAGCAGCAACATCAACGTAGTCGCCTATAAAAATAAAACACGACAAAAACAGAACAAAACAAACGCACGAAATCTACAATTTCGTCAAAATTATGATGACAAGGAAAATGTTTCCGAAAACATACAGCTCAATTTCCCACTATTATCATAGGGATACTGAAGTAGGAGGGTACAGTAAACCACTGGAAACTCAAAAGCCACTGAAGCCGAGATGAAACCGTGAAAAAAAAGCAACGGATGTTATAAAAAGGCTCACAAGGATAAAAACGTCTGTAAAATATTCTACAATTCATTATAGTCGAAACAAAATTTTAAAAACTACTTGCACTTATAATTTTAAAACTGCCTGGGAAAGTGCTTAATCTGCAAGCCGTTTATAGAAATGTCATTATTATTACTGTTCCCTTTAATTCCTAGAGGAACATAAGGGTTCAGTCAAACGTCTCCAATGCGTGCGGTTCTCTGCTAACGTTTTCAGCTGGCCCCACGTCTGCCCACATGCTTTCATCTCCTCTTCACATGACCTCCACCAAGTCACCCTCGAAATGACGACCAACTAGCCGCTTCCCTTTCGGATTCCAGGGCTTGTCTAGTGATGTCACTTGATGGTTTCCTCAGAGTATGACTAATCCACCTCCATTTCTTCCTGCATATTTGTTGCACAATCGGTTCCTGCTGGGTTGGTTCGCTCGTTCCCAGAGATCACTGTTGCTGATCTTTTCTGGCCGCCCATTTGATCTTGAGTAGTATTGAGCGAAGACAGCTGTTGGTGAAGGTCTGTAGTTTGTTCGAAGTGCCCTTCTGGACGCGGCGCCAAGTCTCTGATCCACACAGTAAGTAGCACTGACTTCACATTGGAGTTGAAAATCCGGATGTTATTTTTCATGCTGAGTACTGTTGACCTCCACACAGACTTGGGAGAAATGAAAGCTTGTTTTGATTTCCCGATTCTCGCTTTGATATCCTCATCAATTCTGTCCGCCTGTAGTTGAAACGATGCTTCCCAGGTCGTTACGTAAAGGAAGTCGTTTTTTTCAGGTTCCTCCCATCAGTGCGAATGTTATTAATACCACACTTGAGGAGGAGTGAGAAAGTCGCAGAAACCTACTTAGCAGTATAGAGAGTTAGTACGAACCATGATAGGTGATTGAGCACCATTACTCTGATGAAATATACTCAAAGTTACATTTAAAAGTATTAGCAAAATTTTCGTTGGTAAGTCTCCTTAATAAATAAATAAATAATTCAAAATCGTTTAGTTCAAAAACTGACTACAGAGCTAATATAATAAATTCTAATTGAATTTCAGATTTTCCCGTCAATTGATTCCACCGAAGTGCTCGGTTTCAGGTTGACATGTCGGCTTCTTGTGCAGATGCTTCGACGATGTCTGGGCATTTAATTAGCACTTCGGTCCAATCAATCGACGGGAAAATCACAAATTCAATTAAAATTAATATGACACGTTTCACAAGAGGTGGCTCTTGTGGCCCAAGCGGTCTAGAGGATAACGCTTTGGCGTTTGAAACCCTGGGCATTGAGTTCGAGCTTCAGTGGGAACATCATCACTCACTGAGAAATGCAGGTACATCCAGCCGACGGGTCCCAAATAGGATGAAATGCTATTTATCCTGGATTCCACTGCTAGTCACCATCCACCAATTACATACTAATATAATAAAGCTTATATTTCTACCTTTTTAAATATGCTTTCCTAGAACAATCAATTTTACTTCATTAGACAAAGAAAAATGTGTACTCTATGTATCAGTAATAGATAAATCTTTGTTAAAACCATATGGATCAGCTTCTAATTCCTATAGCATTTATTACAAATCAACGGAAACTTGTGTATACTACCTATCCTTCAATTATAACAAACTCGACGACTGTATTTATTTCATGAATGTTTGTTGAACAAGGTGATTAGTTTTTTTCTGGATAAACAAACCCACAAGAATATAATCTGAAATCACTCAGTAATGATTGTGTGTAGTACATTCTCCTACATAAAAAAAATATGAAACATCAAACTAAGCTTTATTGTTACTTAAACAGTTATGTGGATTTCCAATGAAGCCGCATCTTTTCATGTGAACGAAAGGTATTAGCCAGATGACAACTTTGATAGGTGAATTAGGTATCGAACTTGCAGACTAGTTGGAAATGGATATTCTAAATTTATAGGCAAGAGCATTACACAATAAACTAGACATTTATATTCGAACATTGTCATCTGTTTTGCTAAAGAGCAAAACTACAGTCACTTTAATGCTTTCATTTGTGATAATTCTAAGAAATATATTGAAGTAAGTGCAGAAAATTAACACAAAGAATATATATATGTAATTACTCTCGTCTGAATGAGGAGTCAGAGAATCTTCTTTTGATTTCACAGAAGACGACATTTCTTCATTGTACACCTTCCTCACACTTCATGAGATTCTGAGATTTTTTAACAATGACGACAAGTTTTATTGTGAATCATACACAGATCTAAAATAGATATGAAAAAAATTCTGTTAAAGTAAATAACAATGGTGTTTTGGTAACAAATTTTATATGAAGCATTTTCACCAAGAAAAAGTTATTGAAATAAGGACAGGAATCAGTTTTTACACATCAGGTGTTGATGATAAGAACGAGTCCTAAGCTAATCAACCTTTTTGAAATCAAGTCGATTTGCCATTGTTAGTGAAGGTACGAAAAGAATTAGGCGCCTAGATATCGTTAAGATAGGCATGTCTGGATTTATACGAGACAAAAGAATGCTGAATAAAGTCAGGATAGGATTCGATTACTGTTTTACTATTTCCATTATCACTACGGGATGTCTGTCTGTTTGTTTTCGACATAGAACTTTCCACCCATGTGCGCCAGATCAAGTCGCCACACTCCCTCTTTGTAGCACACAAAGCAAGAGAAGAAATACATGACAGAGAGAGTAAACAGAGGTGTGAGACAAAGGAACAGTAGTAACGAAGAACAAAAGTTTCATTGGAAATCATAAGTCACAGGGAGTGGATGCATCTGCGCCAGCCATTGCAAACGATCACTTTGAGCCATATCACCGATTGTTTCTAGCCATTGGTTTTTACCGTCCCGAGGACCCAAACCAGGAAGCCAGTCTACAATTTCCTACGTGACTGGCTTAAACTAACTATTGTGGATTTCATTGACTGATGAAGCCATGTTTTGGTTTGACCGCCACTAGCTCTTTTCCAGCCTGGCCCTATATCAGCTAACATTTCCTGTTGTCGAGGAAGGCGATGACTAGGCAGACGTAACACATGTCCTAACCATCTCAATTGGTGTAACTTTACAGCCTTGTCGATTGATCAGGGATGATTGTAAGATGGTACTATAAAGGCAATTAAAACCACTTCCCTTGAAAAAGAATTTTAGAGGTGAACCGAATGGTGAAGGGCTTCCTAGTGTCTCCTATTGCAGTGTAATGGGTCTTGAATCTTAGCCTGCCTGTACTACGTATTTACCTAAGATATAATAAAGATACTTTTTCTATGCCGATAAGTCTCTTTCACGTACTTTTTTTTACCAATTATAAACATATACTGCTGGTCTCTTAGTTTAATTCAATTTTGGAAACGAAAGAATTTTATGTCCTAGTTTGTAGACAATGTAGAAAATTAGATTGAAATCGTAGGCCTAACAACCTGATATAAAACAGTCAAACACATAATTAAAACGTTTTCTTCAAATTTATTTAAAGTCGCAAATAAAATGATCGATAATA